CCTTACTAACTTGCTGAGTTCCTCAGTCTGAGCTCTAACTTGTGATCCTCCTGCATCAGCCTCCTGGAGTGCTGGACTTACAGACATGTGCCACAACACCTGACTGATGGTGCTTTCTTGTTCAGCCCTTTGACTAATAATTCTTCCAGCTCTGGTGAGGCTTGCATAGGGTCCAGAGTGTTTCCCTGCGTTTACAGCATGTGACAGAGCAGTAGTTACTGCTGGCAGTGTACACACTCTGCTGGTTGCAGAGGCCTTTAGGTGCTCTTGTATCCTTTATGGCAACCACACATGGCCTCGGCCCTGCGGTGCACTTTGGAAAGGCCAGAAAGCCTGGCCTTTGCAGTTCCCTGTGCTAACTTCATTGTTTTTTTTTTTTTGGTACCAGGGATCGAGCTCAGGACCTTGCGCCAACTTCATTGTCTTATGTTTTATCTCTGGCCTGTAGGTCAAAACTAACTTGTTATTAGTGGCGTCTCCTTCCTCACTAGATTACAAATCCTGCGTCGTTGGGTACCAGTCTTTTTCATCTTTATTTTATGCAAACACCTACAATATTTTCCCCCACACATAACAGACTACAGGCTTTAACATAAATTTATTAACCCTCCAGAGAAAGGAAAATATTTTACTCTAAGTAGAGAGGTGAATGTGATTTTCAGTTTTGTTTTGCTTTTTAATGATGCTAGGGATTGAACCTTGGCCCTTGGGCATGCTTAGCTTTCTCTTTGTTTGGAAATAATTTTCAAGTTTACAAAAGCTGTAGAAAGAAAAATAGCTCTTACCCAGATTGGTCTGATACCACCCACCTGTTTAGTCCCTTAGTTCTGTAAACAAGACACAGGTGGAGTGGACACCTGCTGAGCGGCACTGGCACACCTGATTCCTGAGCTCGGAGGCTGGATTCTGTGCGCCATGACCTTTCCCCCAGACCTGGGCTTGTGGGTCTCCCGAGAACGGGGCCGTTCTCTCACATGGCACAGCCACACTGTAGTCACTGTCTTCAGACGTTCGCACTGTGACCAGTGCCTCCCTCCTGCCGCCTGTCCTGTCCGAATCTGATGCTGTCATCAACCTTGTGATGGATGTCCTTTCCAGCAGAGCTCCACCCCGTGCAGCACAGATCCCAGCAGGGAGTGGATTGAGTGTCCACTTCAGTTTTCTATGATTGATGCTATTCATGTGAATGGGTCTGCATGCCCTTCCCTACCCCACCCTGTGACAGTCCTCATTTGGCCAAACACATACACTTTCTTCTTTTCTTTGGTGCAGCTGGGGGTGGAAGGGAGGGCCTCTTCCATGCCTTTTCCATGCTGGGCAAATGTTCTGCCACTGAGCCAGGCCCCTAGCCCCTAAAATAATAATTTTTTTTTTTTTTGTAGTGCTGGTGATCAAACCTTTAAAATAATTTTTGTTTGAAAGCACAGAAAGCTTGTAGTGAAGTTGGTAAAACCTGAACTTTCTTTTTTTTTATTTGAGATAGGGTCTCACTGTGTTCCCAGCTTGCCTTGAACTCATTATTCCAGGCTGGCCTCAGACTTGGGATCATCCTCCTGCCTCAGCCTCCTGAGTGCTGAGATTACAGGTGTGTACCACTATGCCCTGCAAACTGAACTTTTTTTGGTACCCGGGATCGAACTGGGGACCTTGCACTGGCAAGGCAGGCAGCGGAACCACTGAGCTAAATCCTCAGCCCTAGCTGAATTTTTTTGGTACCAGGGATTGAACTCGGGTCCTTGGCTTGCAAGGCAGGCGGCGGAATCACTGAGCTAAATCCCCCGCCCAAGCCTCAATTGTTCTCCATGTTGGTTCCTTGCTGTGTTGGCTCCTGGAGGGCTGGCACCTTAAGGGAGGTCCTGTCTACCTGCCAACAAGATATCTAATTAACTTACCTATCTATAATATTCCCCCCTCTGAAGAAGTACCCCTAACTGCTATGAGGGGGCAAAGGGCGAAGACAGTTCTGGCTACTTCGAGCTAAAGAGGGTGGTAGTTGTAATCAGCAGTCAGAGTTACTCTACAGAGTCTTATCTAAAGGCCCTCGATAGGTGCCAGGCATTGTCATGTTGGTAGCCATATAGCTTTGAGTCTGGAGGAGACAAAAGCCGAAGAAACAGTTAAGAATATATGGGCTAAATAATAAGGTCAGCGGGACTGCTATGAATATAGCCAACAAAGGTTTGCACTGGAAGTAATAGCCTCCAACAAAGAGGATAAGGAGAAGGTCCAGGGGACTCAGAATCCAAAATAGAAGTCATTACGTAGTTTAGCAGTTATGAGCTGTTTATAAGGTCGACCTAGTGGATCCTGGTAAAAGAAGTCTAGCAGGGCCGGGGATTTAGCTCAGTGGTTCCACTGCCTGCCTCGCCCAAGCGCAAGGTCCCGAGTTTGATCCCCCCCACCAAAAAAAAAGAGGAAGTCTAGCACATTTGTCCTTGGCTCCATTTGTGTGACTGCTTGGAGTTGGCAGCCTCTTTAGATACTGGAATAGTGATTGTAACCTGCTGACTCAGATTCTTTCATTGATAGAGGTTATATATAAGTCTGATACTTTGTCATAAATCTCTCTAGTTTTAGCAAAGATGTAGGATCCTGGAGGAAAGGTTCCTTCATGTCCTGGATTCTTTATTGACCTTGAGGGGCCAGGGCCTAAATATTGGCTGTCCTCTTAGCCCAGTTACTTTTCTAGTTTTGATCTCCAAACTTTAGTTGTTGAACACCCAGAAGAGAAGATCAGTGACTTAAGTATTTCAGTAGGAGCAGTGAGCTTAACTATTATAATTTCATCTGGATGTTAAGCACTTTTAAAATACATTTTATCAACCGTGGTCATTTTAGTAGTTGAATTGAATCCATGTCCATCTTAGTATGGAATAGTCTTTCAGTCAAACACCTCCATCTGATCCCAAGACATTAAATGACATAAAGAAAACTCTTATTTGTTATCCTTAAGTAGGATGCCATCCCTGACCAGTAATCTCAGTGGAAGACCTCCAAAATGATATAGGGGTAAGAGATGTAACTCCCAAACCTACTAGATATCCAAAAAGCGAGTTCTTGTTCTCTAAAATTGAAGAATGAATTCTAGGAACAAGAGAGGTTAAGAGTAGGAAAAATTTATTGGGAGAGGCCTGGGGATGTAGCTCAGTGGTTCTGGCGCCTGCCTCGCAAGCGCAAGGTCCCTAGTTCGATCCCCAGTACCAAAAAAAAAAAACAATTCCAACAGCCTTTTTAAAAGAGAGCAACAGAACACATTCTAAAATTTATTGGGAGAAAGAAAGCTTCTGCCTGAGACAGAAGGGGGACCGGAAAGTGGGTTGTCCTGATAATGGATAACTTTAAATATAGCATTTCTACTATTAGATAATGGATAACTTTAAATATAGCATTTCTACTATTAGTGTTAAACAAAACAACGTAATTCCTGATTAGCGATTCTCAACATTAAATAATTTCACAGCTACGATATTAGGGTTTTTTTAGATTTTACTTCATTGTTCACCACGCTTGTGTCTCTTGAATTCGTTTCCTAGGATTTATAAGCAGGGCTTCTCTTTTTCAAGAAGAGGGTGCACGTGGAGCCGGAATGTCCCTTTTCTCTCTGGTGCTGGAGATGGAGTCCAGGGCCTCACACCTGCTACATGGTGCTGTACCCCAGAGCTGTGTCCCCAGCACCACAGAGTGGTGATTTTCCTTATGCATTTGAGTAATAATCTAACTGTGGGATAGAGCTCTGAAAAAATACTCTAGAATTCTGGGAACAAAGTACTTTTTCATTAAACTTTCAGAATATTGCCCTGTTGCTTTTTGTAGCTTTGTTGATTCTATTAAAACTTGTTGAGGGCCCGGGATTTAGCTCAGTGGTTCCGGTACCTGACTCGCAAGCGCAAGGTCCCGAGCTTGATCCCCAGTTCCCCGGTACCAAAAACTAACAAGCGAACAACTTGTTGAGTTTTTAAATACAGCATTTTAAATTTAGTAGCTTAAATTGCACACTTTGCTATTCTCTAGAGCTCTTCTCATGGCAGCCTGTGTTTTCTGCTTCCTTTTCACTTGTGGACTTCCCCTTCCTTTGCTTAATGTGTGCCGAGTGGACTGAGTCAGACTTAGTTACCAGGCAGCCTGGAGCTCCTGCCTGTACTCGCCTTTGAGTCAGAGAGGGAGGGAGCTGCACAGGCCACCTCACCGTGCCCGTCCTGCTCCGGTGCTCGCGCTGCGGGCTCTGAGCAGACGCTGACCAGGGACTGTCGCTAGGGAAGCCCATTCTTACCGGCTCCCCTCAGCACTGGCTTCTACTCCTGCTAGCTTCTGAACTGGTAGGCACTTGCCAGACTCTCGCGTCACCTCGCATTTTTCCAGACTCATCCAGAGTTCTGTGAACTCAGGGCTGTGCCTTATCCAGTGTGTGTGTGTGCATCGGGTTTAAATGATTTTCAAAATAAACGGCACACGGGGCTGGGGTGGATCGTTGGTAAGGCAGGTGCTGCTTTGTGTGCAGCCCCAGGGCTGAGCCCATAGGACTTTTATTTTTTAAAAAAGGACACACACATGTTTAGAGAGCATTAATCTGGATCGTGAGCTCTCCTGTCTTTCCGCTTGTGCCGAGTTTCCCACCTTTCTTCAGTCTGTGGTTTGGCAGGGAAGACTGCGGCAGAGGTAGCCCATCTGGGTCAGCGGTGGGCATGGAGGGAGGCACGTGAGTCCCTTTCTCTTGCAAGCAAGACTTAAACTTGTTGTAACAATTGACATATTTCAAAACAAGCTTTGTAAGTTTCAGAGTGTTCTGTGACAATGTATGGAAAAGGCCATTTTGTTTTTGAAATTGGAAAATAGGACCCTTAGAGATGTCAGCTGAAACCCTCAGGGGTTGATTGAGAAAAGACTTGGGGGCTTCCGGCCTAACTGCTTCATAGAGTCCTTGCTCTCTGCAGTGTTATGGGCAGGGGGCATACATAATTTGTATATTTTATGTGATGGGTGACTCTTCTTGTTTTTTTCAGTATATTTTTGGAGATTTTAGCCCTGATGAATTCAATCAGTTCTTTGTGACGCCTCGCTCTTCAGTTGAGGTAAGACAAAACTGTTTCAGTGAATACATGAGATATACTTACGATTATGCTTCCATTTAACTTTCTAAATTTGTTTTTTAATGAAGAATTCTGATATATAGAAAAATACTGAATCTGATCTACAAATGCCCTGAACCCATCAGCTAGATTTGCTCATTATTAAGGCTTTGCTGTATTTGCTTTAGACTTTTAAAAATAAATCAGACTGCACAGGGACAGTGGAAGCCTCCTTTGCAGCCTCTCCCACCTCACTCCTTCGGGAGTGCATCGGGGCTGTGCTCAGTGGGTGTCGGCTCCTGGCCGAGGTACTCACCTTGTAGGTACTGCAGGACAGCTACCACTGGTGTCTCCGCCTTTAAAATGCCACCTAGATGACAGGTACTCTGTATTCATCCTTTTGTGGTTTAATTAAGCTAATGTTATATTCTTCCTGTTTATCTACTTTTGTGTATTTGTTCTTGTCCTTTGATTTTAGTACTCTCTGTCAAATGAACCATAATTTCCTTGTTTTCCTATTGAGAACCCTTTAGGTTTTTGGTTCAACTTTTTAAAAATGTGGCAGTAAACGTGCTTTGTCCTGCCTTCTCATACTGAAGAGTTTTCTCCCTCACACTTTTTAACAGATTTTGCTAGTTCTCAGCATTGGCACACCCAGAGTTTTTGTCACTGTCCTGTGTAATAAGTGGGTTCTCATTGTTTACACATTTCCCAGATTACAAACAGTGGGGCACGGTGTCAGTATTTTCACGTCTGTTGACCGTACAAGTTTTCTCTTCTGTGAATTACTTGATCTATATCTCTTGTCTGTGATTTCAGATCATTTGGCTTAGTCTTTCTCTTCTTGATTTACAGGGTTAGTAATCTTTGGTTTTGCACATTATAGTTGTCTCTTTCTACCACCAGAGAATTTCAACTTTATATATGCTGCACTGGTTGGGGTATTTTGCTGGGAAAGGGGAGTATATTGATTTTTCTTCTTCCTCATGGTTTCTATATTTTTAGTTTTTAAAAAGTCATTAAGAAATTTCTCCCTTCCTGAGAGAATAAGGATGTTTGTTTGTTTTTCAGTGTGTGATATGAAGCAGAGGCACTGATCTGTGTGTGTGTGTGTGTGTGTGTGTGTGTGAGAGAGAGAGAGCGGAGTCTGCTCCATTTCCTGGGACCCTAGCAGGTTGTGTCAGTGTCCCACCAACCTGCTCGGGACACATCTCCCCTGTGCTCATGGTTTCTGCCCTGCTCCGGGGCTGGCACACATGTCCTCCACTGGAGTGCTGAGCCGGCCTCGGGGAGTGCTCACTTGCTCCACGCACCCTTGATCTCCCATGTCTTTAATTCTTCGTTACAAGTACTTGAGCATGCCAAGTCCCATGAAAAATCTTACTGAAATTTTATGAGAATTGCATTAAAATTATGACTTGGTTTGTAGGAGAATCAATACCTTTATGGGCGTGAATTTTCCTAAAATGATTCTTGTAGATTTTATTATTCATTCACATTTTCCCCCTTTCTCCTCTATAGTGCTGGGGGTGGAACCCAGAGATGCGGCCACATGAGGCCTGAACACTGCCATTGAGTGCCAGACCTTGCCCGGGCTGTTCAGATTCCCCTCTGATTAGTTATTTCTGCTTTAGCTTAATTAAAACTTATCTGGGACCTTTTTCAAATGCATATTTATTTATTTATTTTCAGACAGGGTCTTGCTGTGTAGTTCAGGCTGGCATTGAACCCTTAAATCTCTTGCTTGTGCCTCCCAAGGGCTAGTATTCAAGTGTGTGCCACCATGCCTGGCTCAAATTTATATTTCAAATATGAAATATTGAAAATACAAAAAGGGAAAAAAGAAAAGTGTATATAAAGTAAAATCTATCTATCTATCTATCTATCTATCTTTTCTTTCTTTCTTTCTTTATTTTTGAAACCTAGGGGTTTATGCACATAGCCAAGTGCTCTACCACTGAGCTATATGCCTGGATCGTTTTAGTTTTTCGAGACAGTGTCATGCTAAGTTACCCAGGCAGTGCTCAAACTTGTGATCTTCCTGCTTCAGCTTCCCAGGCTTGGTGCTATAATTAAAGGCATGTGCCACTAGTACCTGGCCTTAGTTAACTTTTAATAATGCCTAACTAGCTCTTCAGGTTGATAAATACTTATGTGTGAAGAGTTTTTGTACAGAGGAGCTCACCCTTAGAGTGAGATCAGAGGCCAGGCCCGGGGTCCCACTGAGCCACTGTGTGTGGCTAACGTCTGAAGGTATAGCGGCACTTGCCAGAAACAGCAGAATTGCTCTGCTCTTTGTGATTAAGGATGTAAAAAATTATAAAGCCTGCCTTCTGTACTTTATAGTATTTCTTACATTTGCACATATGCGTGAGTGCGTGACTGTTTGCAAGTATTAGAATAAAATTTGGGTTTTCATCTGATAGAAAAGTGGAAATGCACCATATTTCTAGTTTGAAGACCTGGAGTTGGTCCAGCTCTGCCACTTCAACAGTTTCCTAGGCAGTTTCTTCATTTCTTCTTGCCTCTTTCCCCTGCTGCCTTTCCCCTCTTAGAAAAATGGAAAACCCTCACTGACTTTATAGAAATGTTGGGAAATCGGCTAATGTGTGGTCTGGTACTTGGGGGATGACAAATGTCAGTACAGTAGATGTAAGTAATGGATATGGTAAAGTTAGGCCAAATCTTTTATTTGGAGAACTAATGGCTGTCACCAGTCATTTCTAGGTTTAGAAATCTTAGTATAGCTGGGCGGAGTGGTGCACACCTGCATTCCAGCCCTTGGGAAGCTGAGGCAGGAAGGTCACCCCAGATTTGAAGCCAGCCTGGACTACATATTGAATTCAAGGGTGGCCTCAACTACACAGTGAGACCTGTCTCAGAGGGAGGGGGAACACAGAGAAAGAAATCTTAGCATGTCTGAGTTCTCTTTCTCTTGTTTTTGAGCATGCATTAAAGTTTGAGAGGGCACAACAAATGTCTGTCCCCCAAAGGGAAACACAGACTAACATAATTGGACTGGGTTCCTCTCAGTATTATAATTTCAGAGTCTCTGTTACTACTGTTTGCTCTCAGGGGTTCCTGGCTGGGTGAGTGATGGCCTTCACTGCATAGTCAGTCATTTGGAAAGAGATCCAGTCAACTTATTAATAAGTATGTGGGACCTCAGCCATAATAATGTCATTGATGCTAAAAAACAGGGAGGAAATGCTCATTATTCCTGAAAAATATACAGACTCTCAGTACTGGAGACAGTACTCGTACCTCAGCAATTACTGAATAAGTACAAGGAAACGGAGTACACACAGACTGTAGGTGTCTGTGCTGAGAGAGAGGAGGAGAGAGAGAGAGAGAGAGAGAGAGAGAGAGAGAGAGAGATTGAGAATATGGGCAGTTAAGGGATTAATGCGAATTTAAGACAGTTCTCACTTTGGTGTCCTAGTGGGATTTCAAAAGTAGAAAGTCCTGGCTGGGCACACCTGCAATCCCAGAACTTGGGAGGCTGAGGCAGAAGGATTGCCTTGAGTTTGAGATCATTTGGGGTACATGGTAAGTCCAAGGCCAGCCTGGAATGTATAGCAAGACCCTGTCTCAAAAACAGAACAATCGCCACCTGCCTGGCAAGCACAAGGACCCGAGTTCAATCCTCAGTACCAGAAAAAACCCCAACAAAGACAAAGTAGGGAGTCCTGGTTCGTGGGTCTTTTCAGTGGAGGGTGAAACAGTGACAGCACCAGGAGGAGTCTGAAACACCACTGTTGCTTGAACGCTGGCTTCCTCTGTCTGATGTCCAGGGAAGCAGTACCCCCTCCCCGAGGTGTGGAGCAGAATAGGAGGGGCTGGGCCGTGGCTCTGAGCGCGGGTGTTGCTGTCTGGTGTGGCTAGTCGGCATAGGCTGACCTTCGGTACCATAATGAAGTACGTGTGGCAGGTTAGCTGTGAAGAAAGAGATGGATTTGGGCTCCCAGTTACAGAGGTCCAAGGTCCAGGGCCCGGTCAGGTTCTGGCCTTACTATGGAGCTGCAGGGGAATACAGCTGTTCTGTCTCTGTCCCTCTCATGAAGTCACCAGCATTCAGTCATGAGAGCCCCGTGCTAATGACTCGTCTAACCTTGGTCACTTTCCAAAGGCCCCACTAGACGCCGCGGTGCGTCAGGGTCTGAGCGCATTAGCACACCCTTTGGGTTACACTGCATGATTGCAGGGGGCAGACCTCATTTCATCACGCTGTGCCCTCCCCGGCTGTCAGCCTGGTCTGTCGTCCCCACATGCTGCCCAGGGCTGGAGGCTTTCCTGTCTTTCCTTCTCCAAGTGGAACAGAATACAGTAAGTATGAAGAAGCCATTGTTCTGATGCATGAGGTTATGAAAGCCAAAAAGAGGGTTTCTTTTTTTTTTGGTACCGGGGATCAAACTCGGGAGCTTGCACTTGGGAGACAGGCGGTGGCACCACTGATTTAAATCCCTGGCCCTAGGGTTTCTTGATGTTACAGTGATTTTGTGTGAGTAGCCGGTCATTCAGATTCCTTTTTGTGCCTCAGAATAATTCAGATGGCCACCTTCAGGGGCCCAGAGTGTTGTGACAGGAAGCGCAGGCGCTCTGGTGACAGCGCAGGGACCTGCTGTGCGTTGTGCTTCCCAGACCCCTGTGCACGTTGTCCTTACAGACGCACTGTCTGCTTTGGCTCTGTGGTGTGAGTGCCACTCTGCCAGCTAGGGGCTTGGCAGGGTGGAACTCACCCCATCTCAGGCTTTGCGGTCCTGGATCTGTGCTGTGTGCTGGGCTGCCCCCTGGTGAGGGAAACGCACAGCTCCAAGTCTGCGTTCTTTCCAGTCACTGTTTTTTTCTTAGCTTCTCTGTAATGACTGAATTGTCTTGCTAAGAGTTCATAAAACAGCAGTTTCCAAGCCTCGGAAGGCATGAGAAATGCTTGGCTTGGAGAAATGCTGCCCCAAGGTGTTGCGCTGTTTTTGTTTTCTTCAGGTAGCAGTGATTTTTCTGCTTACCTCATCCCCTTTCCTCCTATACTTTCTCGTGCCAAACATGTCCGCGTCAGGTATTCCCAGTTCTTGAGTAAATACGGAATAGCTAGGAGGGAAAGTATTTGAGAGTTTCACAGAACTTCTGCTTTTTACAAAGAAGCCAGACCTGTGCCATTGCCTTCTCTCTTCCAAATCACAACTGTGATGTTAGATATTGATTCTGTTATTTTAGTACGCCGTGTTGGATAGGGAGTCTCAGTTCCAAGGCCCCTTCCCCCTGAGTGTGTTCTCAGCTCTGACCTGTCCCGGCCCTGATGGCGAAGAGGAAGTGCAGATGGCCACTAGTGGGCAGAGAAGAGTCTGCTCAGCCAGAGCAGCCGGGAGAGGGAAAGCAGGCTGTCAGAAGCACTGTGTTATAGCTGATTTGTGTACCCATGGAGCTCATTTTCAATTCCTTAGCCTCATTTTTGGATCTGTGTAACAGTGATTATAAATATTTGAAAGCATTCCTGTAGTGCTTTTCCCCTTAGGGTAGTTGAAGGTAATGCAGATTTTCCTGACTTGTGTGGCATTCTGGTAAAAGGAGTGTCCTGAGAAGTTGCATGGGTAGAGTTTTAATGCAGTGTTGTCTTGATGCAGTAGCACGTGTTGTGTGTTAATATTCTGTTGAATTGAAATTTTTTTTCTGATTCCTCATGCAGCTCCCCCCGTACAGTGGAACAGCTCTGTGTGGCACTCAGGCTGCGGACGAACTGCCTGATGGTAAGCTGGTCTCCTCCTCCCTTATGAGCTGGTGTGTGCCGGGTGGGCAGGCTGCCAACAGACGCTGTCTCTTGGCTCAGACTTTTGGAAGCAGCATTTCCTTTCAGCATGGAGTTCTTGCGGTGGACTGTAGTATATTTAATCCCTGGAGCTCTCTGACTGTTGGGATTGCTTTATACCTCAAAAGGCCAGGCATTTAAGATTCAGTGAGTTCTTTTTTCTTAGCAGTTCTCAGTGCCACAGGTATGTCCCTTGCCATGGCTGCGTGTGCGGGCTCTGAAGGACTGGCCTCTTTCTTTTTTTTTTTTTTTTTCTGGCACTGGGGATTGAACTTGGGACCTTGAGCTTGCCAGGCAGGTGCAGTGCCACTGAGCTTCATCCCCAGTCCTTGATGGCTGTCCTGTCTTGTTGCTGTTCTGATGCCTGGGCCCGGGGTGGTTGGCCTGGGATGGGTGTGCTTTGTACATCTGAGCAGCCGAGCCTGCCTGGTTTTAGCAGCTTACACTCCCTTCCCATCTGTCACAGGCCCCCTGGGAATTCAGCTGCTGGCCTCACCCCCTGGGCTGGCACTTATCCAGGTGTAGCCCTCCTGCACTGTGTCAGCTCCAGTGCCAAGATGCCCTGGCAGTCTGGCTCACAGGAAGGGCCCTTGAGGGCTGCAGAGAAGCTGGAGGAAAGCATTTTCTTGGAAAGCCAGGATTTGGAGGCTGTGTTTAGTTAGCGTAGTCAGACTTGGGAGGAGGGGGTTAATTACAGTTTAGGGTTAGATATGAACTTAAAGAGACTAACCAAGCGTTTTATGCAGTAACATCGTTTTATAAGAAGCAGTAATACGGGGGCCCAAACAAGACAGAACAGATTTCACAGGCGCTTAGGATGATTGATACAGTAAGCAAAACTCTAGGGACCTACCACCAGCTGCTCAGCCTCCTGGCTGCCTCTTCCGCTGCTGGATCCGGCCCTGACACCTGCTCCTGCGCCTGTCCTCGCTGTGGTCTGTGCTGTGCTCTTGGGCGCATGCTGCACACGTGTGTGCTTGCAGGCAGCACACTGCCTTTCCTTCCCTTCCTGGGACTCCTTCTTCCAACTCCCAGTCCTTGGTGTTGCAGATCCCCACCCTCAGCCCTTCCTCCTGCTAGGCTGTCGCCCCTTCTCAGTCCCTGCCTCTTGACTCATCCTTCATTCTCTCTTCTCTTCCACCTTAGTCCATCTTTTACTCTGTTGGAAACAGCTAGGACTGTGCCACCTGCTTGCATGTGCAGTGACAGGCCCACTGGAAGGCCCTGCCCCCCAAGCCTCTTTGGTCCACCTGCTCGAGTGCTGTCACTGTCTCTCTCACAGGACCTGCCCACTCACTGTCTGGTAGCGACTCTCCTCCTCTCACACTGGACCCAGCCATGTTAGGATCTGTGTCTGTCTCCCCACTACACGCTGTGCATATGCAGTTCTGTGACCCTCGGTGCATTTGTTGGAGAATGATGTAAAACGCTGTCTTGTGCTCCATCCCTCCAGCACCAGCACCAGCAGCCCGCCTGCAGAGGCAGTTCACCATGGCATCCACCTTTTCTACCTCTGCCTTTTCCAGACAGTTCTGAGAGCTCATTTTCACCCCCACCCCATCCACTCATCTTTCAGGTCCCACTGGCCTCTCTCGATGCTGATTGAAATTGATTCCCTTTTCCTGACTGAGTCCAGAAAGAAGTCCATTCTCTCTATAGAGATGCTCATGGCCTTCTCATGCCCCCTCTTGCTTTGTTATCCGCAGTCACTTAGTCAAAATGAGCTCCCTGAGCAGAGGTCTCGCCTTACCAACCTCACCCTCCAACCCGCCACCTGCCGCCCAGGCTTTGGCTGTGTGTACTGCAGTGAGCACCCTTTGAGAAATGATGCCCTCGGGTGCTGTTTTAGCTCAGCTGGTTCTCCTTCCCTGACAAACCTGCTGCCCACAGGACCTGAATGCTGCTTTCCAGAGTATTGTCTGGGCTATTTAAAGCCATTTGACAGGTGTGGTGCTGTAATCCTAGCACTTGGGAGGCTGAGGCAGGAGAATTGCTGCAAGTCCAAGGCCAGTATCCTGGACTACATAGTGAGACCCTATCTCAAAACAAAAAAGCAACAGCCAAAAAAAGCGGTGTTTATAGGGCTCCCACAGCACACCAGCCTCCAGATGGGGCTGTCGAGTTCCCACTGTGCAGTCCGGGGGTCCTCTGTCCTGGCTAGGACTCTGCTTTTCGAGATACGCCCACTGTTCCGGGTAGCGTTTTGGAAGTGGCCGTGACAGTGAGAAAGTTCTGTTAATGTCATTTCACTTTCTAAACATTTCATGCTCTGATAAGATGGAGAGTCAGACTGGAAGCCCTGTGCACATGGGAAATCATCCGTCTTGCAGAAGCTGCTCAGCACATGGCATGCTCATTCTTAGTGTGATTTCCCAGTGTCCCCTGTCCCAAAGGCAGCCCCCAAGTGGAGCCCTTGCTTCTCAGGCTGCATCTCTAGACCCCATGGGCTAGGAGTGCCTGGAGCGGAGAGACCGCCACCCTAGTTGTACAGGCCTCCCTGGCCTAATGACCGAGCTGTTCCTGCAACCAGGTCACTAAGCATATTGGTCACGGACTGAGGAGTTGTGTATCATATGTATATCACAACATTCAGGACAGTGAAATAGTCAAAGAAAACTCCAGCTTGGTGACTTCGCTTTGATTTGTGTCACTCAGTACTGTAATGTATAGCAGATCACGGAACTAGAGTTTTGAACTGTATAGTACATTCAGCGGAATTTGCAGTACTGCATGAACGGTGTACAGTACAAAAATGACCTTGAGGTTCTATAAACAAGATGTACGGAACTTTACAAAAGAAAGTCGGGTTGTTAAGCCTGAACAGGTAGGTTGTTAAACGAGGAGTATCCATAGTAACAAGTTTGCTTCTCTTTGGTGATTCTTTTCAAAGTAAACAAAAAACAGTGTCCAGATGAATCGATGTCCTGTTGGTGCCATTGTGTGTCAGCTTGCTGGTTAGCATAAGCACGATCTGTTCTCTTCCAAGAACTTTGTGTTGTTTGTACCAGATTGATCTCCTGGCCCCAGCGAGGGCATCCAAATGAACAAAGACTCACCTCCAGGGTCTGTGTAGGTCCTGTCCTCCTCCTGTCCGCTCATGGCACATAGCCGCCCTCCCCCGAGGAAGGCTTCTAAAGGCCCCTTCAGGGTGCAGTGTGTTCAGGTCTCTGTAGTAAAGGCTGTTCGTGAGCATTATGATTCTTTTCTTGAAATATGTGCCTGAAAAAATAACTGGAGCCTTATGGTACACCTGAAGGCATCTTTATTTATGCACTAAAAATGGATCCCGAAGTGTGTGACCTTTCCTTAACTTCAGACTTAACAGCCTCTTCATCAAATAGGAAATAGCGTAGTTGCTTCAGGTCTGTTGAAAAACAGGACTGATTCTGGAACATGCGCCTTGCCATGAATGATATGTGTAGATTTTGTTTACTGGGAGGAAGTATTGAAAATTCCCCAGAGAGGTTTTTTTTGGTACCGGGGATTGAACTTGGGTCCTTGCGCTTGCACAGCAGGTGACAAAACCACTGAGCTAAATCCCTGGCCCGCAGAGAGGTTTTTAAAAGTTTATAGTCCACATTTATCTTTTGGTATTTTGGGACCAATGGGGGTTTTAATCAGGCAAAAATACCATTTTTTATTTTTATTTTTTTGCGGTACTGGGGACCTTGTGCTTGCAAGGCAGGCATGGTGCCACTGAGCTAAATCCCCGGCCCAAAATAGCATTTATTTTCATTACAAATTTATTTTAGTTTCTATCTTCTGAAAGTCTTCTTTAGCTTCGCAGAGAGTTGAAGATAAGGACAGGCTTCTGTTTTTTATAACCCTAATTAAATACAGTTTTATAGGTATTATTTATTTTCAGCAAATTATCTAGCATAGAAATGATAACTTAGGAAAAGAACTTTTTTCAGTTTTCAAAGAGAAAATGAGTAATTATTTATACTTTTATAGTCTGTAGATTTAGTCTTAACAAGATATTTACTAACCATTTTGTTTCTAAACAGGACAAGAGTATCAGAGAATTGAGTTCGGTGTCAATGAAGTAATTGACCCCAGTGACACTCTGCCGAGAGCCCCCGGCAACAGTATTTCAAGCACATTGAACCCTCAGGCCCCTGAATTTATTCTTGGTTGTACAGCTTCCAAAAAGACCCCTGATGGGCTAGACCAGGAGGTGAACTCCAGCTCCCTTGACCACCCATACCCGGGCCCAGCCCTGGCCTTGGACAGCAGCTCGCATGCTGAGGCAGAGGCTCTGGAGAACACTGGTGGCCCAGGTGGCCTGGGACAGAGGGAGCGGAAAAGGAAGAAGAAGCGGCCCCCAGGGTATTACAGTTACCTGAAAACTGGGGGTGACGAAAGTATTTCCACAGAAGCTGTGGTCAACGGCCATGCCAACTCAGCTGGCCTCGGTGGGGTGGGCGCCGAGGATGCGGAGTTTATGGGTGACATGCTCCCGCCGGTTTCGCCCAGGACTTGTGACAGCCCTCAGAACTCCACGGACTTCATCAGTGACACTGTGCCTGATAGTCCTTACCCTGGAGCGCTCGACAGCGCCGCCAGGACTGTGGGGCAGCCCGAGGGCTGCTGTGGGCCTGACTTTGAGCAAGCCTGCCTCCCCGCAGACCGCCTGCTAAGGACAGCTGTGGCTCCGCCCTGTGCTGCTACCGATACTACTGAGAACCTTGGCATCACCAATGGACAAGTACTTGAATCCTCGAGTGTGGGCACAGCTGCCAACGGGGAGCTGCACACTGTGGAGAGCACAGACTCAGACGTGGCCAAGCTGGAGCGTGCGCCACCTCCCGCTGACAGCGTACTCCCTGCACCCATTCCCATTAACCAGCCTGCCAAGTCCTGGGCCAGCCTCTTTCATGATGCTAAGCCCTCTTCCTCCTCACCCGTGGCGTATGTGGAAACTAAGTGTTCACCTCCTGCCCCATCTCCCCTGGTCTCTGAAAAGCAGGTTGAAGTCAAAGAAGGGCTTGTTCCAGTTTCAGAGGATCCCGTAGCCATGCAGATCGCAGGTACAGTGAACCAAGTACAAGCTGAGCACAGAGCTCAGCATCCGGAGGCGGGGCTTTGAGGCAGATGGGGCTCTCACAGTGACAGATGGTGCCATAGCGACAGATCACTGGGGTACAAATGGGAATGGCTAAGGAGTGCCTGTGTCTTAGACTTTGACTAATGGGGAGGTAAGGGGTGTCATACCCTCACGATAAGAAAAGAAAAGTCCAGGCCAGGGGTTTAGCTCAGTGGTTTCGCAGCCTGCTGCGCAATCGCAAGGACCCGAGTTCGATCCCTGGGACCAAAAAAAAAAAAAAAAATCCATTTTTATTACAGGTCCTTTTGTACTTATAATTCCATTTCTCTCTCTCTCTCTCTTTTTTTTTTTGTACCGGGGATCGAACTCGGGCCCTTCCACTTGCGAGGCGGGCAGCAGAACCACTGAGCTAAAGCCCTGGCCCCCATTCTCTTTCTTGCCTTTGTTAAGTAACTGTACCACTGTTCATATAACGAGCCTGTCCCGTGTCGCAGCTGTTGTCTGCTTTTGGTGTGACAGTCCCTGTTTGTATTCACTTGTACTGTTGCTTTTTTATATTTCTCAAGCTTTAAGAAAGCATTTGTGATTCATGTAGGTTTTTCCTTTATTTTTAAATTTTTTTTGGTACCAGGTATTGAATTCGGGACTTGGTTCTTGCGCAGCAGGCGCCAGAACCACTGAGCTAAATCCCCTGGCCAGGGTATTTCCTTTTTAATAACTATTTTGGGTTGAATACATGGATTTTATTCAGTATTTTAGTACACCAAGGTCAGCTCTTGACAGGAAAAGGAAAAATTATAAAATTTCACCCTAAAGTTAACATCTTGTCTTAATTAACAATAAAAAGGCAAAGCAGCATAATGCATAGGTTGTGTTTGAAGTGAAGCAGGGAACCAGCTGCCCAGGGCTCCGTGCTTATCTATACCTAAGAGGTGAAGGCTGGGCGGAAGTGAGCTGGAGTCAGCTCTCGAGCTGCTCTCTGATTCATGTGTGCCAGCAGCCACCTGCAAAAATTGCCTTTGTGAGTGGGCAGTTTCATCAGAAATAAAACACATTCTTCATTCTTCTGGTGGTGGTAGGATGACAAGTACTTTTTTTTTGGTGCCAGGGATTGAACTCGGGACCTTGTTGTGCTTGCGAGGCAGGTGGTAGAAGCACTGAGCTAAATCCCTGGCCCTGACAAGTACTTTTTAAAAAACATTCCTTATACAAAGTATGGTATTTTGAATCTTGGTTTTCTGGGGATCTTTTAAAATGAGGAAATAACAGGGCAACCATTGTTATTTTGAGTCATATACACATTTAAAGCCAAGTGGTTTCCTCAATAGTATGTAAAATAGTTTAGAATGTATTTGTTACAAGGCCCACTGTCACAGTTAGGGTAAGACGGTATATTCGTCCGAATATGGGTTAATGTGTCACAAGTTTATTTTTGACTTATAAGGAGAAATTCATGGAGGAGTATGTTCACAGCCATGTGCTTCCAGTTCCCCCATGAGAGCATTGTAATTATACTTCTCTCCTGAAAGTTACTCTGCAGAGGAGAGCTTTACATCCCTAGGAAATTTTTTCTTTTTAAAATAAGAAAGAAAAACTTCCCTTTAAAAGTTTTAAGACATTCTTGTATAAGCCTAAGTGTGGTTTTCTGTGTCCTGTGTGCATTAAAGTCTAATGAGGCTGAAGTGCGTGTGCTGGCACACTCCTGTGATCTCAGCACTCGGGAGGCTGAGGCAGGAGGATCACAAGTCTGAGCCCAGCACAGGTAGCTTAGCAACTTAATGACACTCTGTCTCAAAATTTAGGAAAGGGCTGGAGATTCAACTCAGTGCTGAGTCGCCATGTCAGTCCCCAGTACCACGCGCATGTGCACACACACACCCCGACAGAAAGAAAAGGGTTTTGAGACACTAACAGTAGGGCTTTCTGCTGGCTGGCGCTGTTTCGGAGCCTCACCCCCAGCCCCGCTGCTCCTGGTGGGTGTCTCTCACGGCCTCCGCATAGCTGTGTCACTTCCCACCGTGCTGCCACGAAGCCTGCAGAGGTGATTACCCAGCACAGCTGGGCTCTCCTGGTGGGTGCCCTGACAGCACCCTTTGCTGTGGGCCGTGTAGGCTGAGGGAAAGCAGTTCTGTTGGAATTTTTCCCTGTTCAAATTTTCTTATGGATTTACTTTATTAAAATGATAAAACATGTCCTTTGTTCTAAGATGTACTAACTGCACAATCCCTTCGAGGGGCATGTTTTTAAGTATGGACCTACTTATTTTAAGCAGCAGTTAGCTGAGTGAAATTCTAATTCCACTGAAAGATCTTTGATGTTGGTTACAATAGAATTTGACTTGCATTGGAGTCTAACTGGTTCTACTGAAAGAATAAGTTTTTTGTGTTTTTTTTGATGGTGATGGTACTGGAGATTGACATTTTTATCCCTAGTCCATTTTTATTTTTATTTTTTAAATTTTGAGATAAGAGTCTCAAGTCACAGAACTTTCCAGGCTTGGCTTGAACTTCCTGAGTGATTGGTTGGTTGGTTGGCTGTTTTTTTTGTTTTGTTTGTTTCAGTTTTTTAACAGGGTCTGGCTGGATAGTTCAGGCTGGCCTCCAAACTCACAGCGATCCTCCTGCCTCAGTCTTACAGAGCGCTGGGATTGCAGGTGTAGGGCAGCAGCAGTGTCTGGGCCGCGCATGTGCTCGGGAGGATGCACGGCATGCCATGCAGTGCGTGGTGCCATGCTGTGGCCTCCCCCACACGGTCCAGAGTGGACTACAGCCGCCATGCCTCATGTTCCCGATCAGTACTGGGGTTTGATGGACATGGAGGTTCTTCTGAGTTTTCACTAAGGAGCGTACATTGTATTCCAAACCAGACTGTGTCAGATGCTTTCAACATGCAAAAGGAGCTGTTTTGTATCTGATGTTTTAAAATCATGTCAGTGTGGCTTGTTTTAACAAAGTTAAATAATGCTGGACATGAGGGGAGACCAGGCCAAGTGCCCGAGTACAGTAAACTGCAAGAGAACTAGGCAAGCAGGCCTTATGGGGTGCTGCTGAGGACTGTGCTGCCTGCTGTGCGGTGTCAGTCTCCACACCCACGTGTGTCTGCGTGTAAAGGGAAACGTGTCCTAAGTCTGGTCTTTTTTTTTTTTTTTTTTTGAGACAGGGTCTTGCTGTGTAGTCTAGGCTGGCCTGGAACTCACAGTGATCCTCCTGCCTCAGCCTCCCGAGCACTGGGATTACAGGCGTGTGTTTGCAAGACTTGTTTGGTTTGGTGGTTCGTCTATCACATAGGTACTTGCCGTCCTCTACAGGAAGTGATTCGTGGGTATTTTGCATTTCTTCTTGAACCCTGAAGTACCATAGCAATGATGATGTCGTGTGCCCAAAGAGTTAAGAGGTGCAGCCCTGTCTGTGGGGTGCCGCCCCCCTGGGCTGCGCCTTCTAGCTGGCCCACTCGCAGGCCTCTGAGAACCCAAAGACAGCCTGCAGCCCCTGGTGGTGGTGCATCTTGGACACTTTGCTGCCCCCCGCCCGATCAGGCAGCCGGGATAGCAGCCTCTGTTCTTGCCTGGTGATGATAACAAGGAAGAGAGGCTGCGGGAGACAGAAAGGAGAAGAGCACAGAATGTCAGCTCTGGGCCGTCACCAAGCCCTAAGAACGGTGAGCACTCTGCACCTTGCATTGGTGTGGATTTTAAGTGGTAATATGACCTCTAAATCCTCATTTTAGGAAAACCAGCTCTTTGTACTGAGGATATACAGCCCTAGCCCTTTTTATTTATTTATTTTGCAACACCAAATTGCTAAGCTGCCCAGGTGGAACTGGGCCTTGGAATCCTGCTGCCTTAGCCTCCTGCAGGGCTAGGATTATAGGTATGTGCCACACTTCTGGCTAGGAAAACAAACTTGCATGCCTAAAAATATGTGCAGGCAGAATCTCAGCTTATAAGAATGTACGTTCATATCACAAGTACTGCTGTTGAGTTTATCAGTCATTTGAGTTGAATCATTGGGCAGCTTTTGTGAGCTTTGTATAAAATCTTGCAACAAAGTGATATTAAGCAGCTCAGTTTTTCTGCCTGTCCACAGATTTCATAAAAAGGTTAAACTTGAATTGAACCTTTCAGTGTTACAGAAATGAAAGGACCAGTGTCGACCTTGTGTCTCTTGAGTCACTGGCAGATCCTGCCTTTGTGTGTCCCTTGTTCTGGGCAGCCCCATGGGCTCTCACTAGGGCCAGGCAGGCCCAGGAGTCCTGAGGAGCTGGCTTCTGGCTTGTGGAGGAAGAAGGGTTGTTACCAAGTCAGCTCTTGAGTGTTTGCCCTAAGGAGGGAACAGTAGACGGACCAGCTCAGGACCTGGGACACTGTCAGCCTCCATAGCCCGCTTCCCCCACCCCCCCCCCCCCCACCTCAGGGCCACCTCCCCTCGTTTTATCTCTGGACTCCACAATTACCTGCCTGTTGGGTTAAGGCTGAGGGTAAAATGGCCCATGGAGCCAGTGACCCATGCTGCAGGAGTGACACTGGAGAAGTGAGCTCACCCTGGCTTGTCTACAAGTCCTGGCTTAGGGATTCTAACTGCAGAGCTCACTCCTTGTGACCGCTCACTTCTGTAGCTGGGTGTTGGCTCTTGACAGGAATTGTTTTGTTAAAATTTGTTTTTCTTTTTGAAAAACAATTCATTTGCTGTAGCACTGGGGATCTACCCTGGGCCTTGCCTATGCTAATCACACATTAGGCCACCGAACTGCATCCCTGGCCCTTTAAAAATTTAAGGCAGGGTTTCGCTAGGCTGCAGAAATACAGAACTCACTGTGTTTCCTGCCTCGGCCTCCGTGGAGTCAGGATTGTCTTTGCACCTGTAATTGTGGAGCGTGCTGGGCAGCTCTGTGATGTGTTAGCTGCTCTAGGAAAAGGCTCAGTGGACAGCATGTTACAAAACTGGGACTAAAGATTTCTGGGGTATTTGGATTGTAAGAGAAAATCCTAGACAATAAAATACTTTTATCTGAATTTTTTTTACAGTCATTCGATTTGAAATGGAACTTCATATTCACAGAATGTTCAGAACTTCAAGTTTTAGGGAATTTAGGTTAATATTGCAGAGACTTGAAATTACTTTTTCAGATCCTCACATTAACTTCCTTTTCCTTCTCTTCCCACCTGTGTCTGTTCTTCTTCCACTGAGGCTTGTGGCCATCGGTGACATGCCGGCCGAACACTTGGCTCTCGCCTGTGGGGAGCCGAGGTGTGAGCCCGGGTCTCTGGCTCGGGAGCCTGGGCTCTGCGGGCCCCGCGGGTGTCTTGACTGTGAGGCGGAGCCAGCTGTGGGCGGGCGGGCTCCTCGGTGTCCCATCCTGTGTGCACTCCGTACAGCGTGCACTCCCAGGGCTGAGTCATGAGTGGCCTCACCTCGAATGTGGTCTGTGGCACAGATAAGGAGGGAACAGACAACAGAGCTGTGTGGGGGACAGAGAAGGCCAGTGGGTCCTTTACCTTGGACAGGGAGGACTCTTGTGCACTCTGAAGTGTGATGGTCGTTTTTGTTTTTGGTTTTTTTTTTTGGTACCTTGGATCAAACTCGGGTCCTTGCGCTTGCGCAGCAGGCGGTGAAACCACTGAGCTAAATCCCCGGCCCAAGCTGTGAGGTCTTATATTTAAGCAACTTCCTATCCAAGGAAAGAGAGTTGTTGCTTCTAGATCAAGGCAAACAGTGACCATGTCTGCTAATATGGAGACAGCGCCAGAGGGACAAGATTGTTTTTAGACACTCAGTCTTGGGTAGAGAATCAGATTCAGGAGCGATAGAAAATACTAACCGTGGAATGATCCTTAATTTTATCTAAGGTGTTTGTTTGTTTGAGTACCAAGGATCAAACTGAGGACCTTGCACTTGCCAGGCAGATGCTGTGCTGCTGAGCTACATCCCCAGCCCAATACTCAGTTTAGCTATTAAAGACCTATACGGAGTTGTTTTAGAGTGACAGTAATCATCAAGGGAAATCCAGGTGGTCGGTATCTCTGCTGTTTTGTGTGTGAAGATTTCTTTTGACATAAGGATGTTGTGCCAGAGCACCCCTTCCGGAGGGTGCTAAGGCTTGAGAGGAGCTCCCTGAGCACCTTGTCAAGCTGGGTGCCAGAGACCTTTTCATTCCACTTGGGCCTGAGTTTTTGCTCTTTTGCTTTGTGGAGGTCCTGTTGTTCGCAGTTACTGAACAGACTGCTAGAGGGTGCTGCAAGATTTAGACTGAAGCTGCTTTTTCTCTTTTTTGTACCAGGGAATCGAACTCCGGACCTTGTGCTTGTAAGGCAGGTGGCAGAACCACTGAGCTACATCCCCGGCCCTTAAGCTGCCTTTTTATCTGCCTGTTCCTCAAATCAGCAAGCAGAAGCCAGTGTGGGCAGGCAGGTTCTGGGAAGGGGTGGTGTAGAAGCAGTGGCGGTCCGACCTGTGTGCACTTTCTCTAAGTAAGTGCTGGAAAGAAGGCTTCCTAGGGCCAGGGATTTAGCTCATTGGTGCTGCCGCCTGCCTCACAGGGGCCAGGTTATGAGTTCGATAATTTTTTTGGCACCAAAAAAATAAAAAGGAAGCTTCATAGCTGACTTTAGGTTTAGAACCATAGCTGGCTTTAGGTTGGATCGTCCTCTGGCTCCTCTGGCTCCGCCATGCTAGAATGCTGCAGCTGCCAGTTGTTCAGGCTGTTACCAGCCGCAGCCACTTAGGAGCACTAGGAGGCCCATTCTCAGGTGGCCGTAGTGCAGCCAGGCCTCGATGGCTTGCACCAGCATCCCTTCTGGATGGTGTTAGCTTTGTCAAAAGTGGTTTTTCCTGTAACTGAAACTAAGTCCAAAGTACTCTGAACTGTTTGCGATCAGATTTTTGAGTGTTCAAACAGTGGAGCCAAACACAGTGGCGCACCTGTGACCCCCGCCCTCTGGAAGGCTCAGTCCGGAGGGTCACAAGTCTGAGCCCAGCTTTGGCCACTTAAGTGACTTAGCGAGAGCCTGTTTCAGAATGAAAAAGGCTGGGAATCTATTTCAGGGTGGGGGCCCTGGTTTTAAAAATAAAAACCATACCAACTTAACCTAGGAGGGAGGCTTCAGACAGAGCAGTCCTGGTCCTGGTTGCTTCCTTTTCGTTTCCCACCGGTGTCTGTGCTGCACCCAGCCCCACCAGACTGCCTGTCTTACCAGCAGGAGAACCGAAGGCCTGTCTCCTGCCAGGTGCACCCGCCTTGGCCTCGATTCAGTTCCTTCCTCCTGTGGCCTTGACTCCAGCCGAGCAGTGCGTGCTCACTTTGCTCCCCAGGGCCTTGGACACATTGCTCCTCCCGCTGCCGTGTCATCAGACACACACTTCCTGCCCTGCTGGGCCTGTGTGTGCCTATGGGAGGGGAAAACTGAACTCACAATCTGATAGAGGCTTAGCACACGCATGCTGGTGTCCTCTCAGTACCCCTGCCAGCCCCTAGGACAAACCCACTGTCACCTCGGCATGCAAACACAGCACGAGCCCTCCCGCCAGGCCTGTCGCTTTCGGCCACGTCACTGGTTTGTAAGCTGCCGGAGAGCAGGGCTGCCATGTAGCTGTGTGTGCCCGCTGGCTCAGCAGGTGTCCTTCGCCGTCAGCAGAAGGCAGCGAGTCATTTAACAGAGCCCCTGTGGTAGGAAGGCTACTCGCTTTACATCTTTTCTTGGTGATTGCATGAAAAGTTAATTGTTAGACAGAAAAATACTGTGGCAGGTTGGTGGCTGGACGCTGCCATGGGAGGTTGTGCCTCTGCACTAGGGAGTCGGTGTGTGCTGGAAACACAGGTTTGTGCTGTTGTGCAGCATGGGCCAGACATTATAGAATGTTGCAGTGCAGCTCTTAAGACAAGTGTAAAAGTCCCGTATAAGTACAAGATCTTAGGCTTGTGGCCAAAGGTAGGTAGCTAAAACTTTACCAAGAAAAGTTTTTCTTTTTCTGTACCGGGGATCAAACTCGGGTCCTTGTGCTTGCGAGGCAGGCAGCGGAACCACTGAGCTACATCCCCGGCCCCCATAAAAAGTTTAAAAGTGGATTTCGATCCCCAGTACCAAAAAAAAAAAGTTTTAAAGTGGAACCCAGTATATATTGGAGAAGAAAGTGCGGCCTCTGGATCCAGGCTCACAGGTTGGTTCGGTTACGTGGCCTTAGTTTTCTCATCTGTGAAGGGGGCACGGTCGTGGTGCCTCTGACAGGGCTGCGAGTGATGATTATGAATAATGTGGATGAAGCTCCACACGAAGCTCGTGTCTTCCCTTCCCATGCACATAGGCCCCATCTCCCTGGCAGTCACCAAGTGGGATCTTGGGGTTCAGGTCCGTGACGGACCTGCTCACGGGTCAGGGCCCAGGGCTGTGCTCCTCAGAGGGAGGAGAAGGGCTGTCCGAGCTCAGCCTAACTGAGGAGTCCCACTGGGCTCTCAAGCCTGGAGGGTCTCCCTTTGTGTGCAGGGGGCCGTGTGAAAATTACTCCCCACCGTTCGTCAGAAGAGGGAAGGTGTGGAGTGTGCGTGTTGGTACTGGAGCTGCTCCCAACTTGTGTGTGAGCCCGAGACCTGCCAGTACAACTGTGTTAAGAAAGGAAGACTTTCTCGTCCCACCTCAGTGGGTGCTCCTGTCAGACGTATGCCTGGTCAGGTTTCTTTCCCGCTGTGCCCCTTACCAGCCAGAGAGGCAGGTAGCGTGGCCCAGCCCGGTGGGCCTGGCCATGCCACCCTTACCCTGTAGCTCACAGCGAGCAAAGTATCTCGGATGGTTATTTGTATAGGAGCGGCGTTCAGTCAGAGCCTTCTTAAAACTGGAAAGAGCCCTGTGTGCGGGCGAATCTGAGGATACAGAGCTTGCTTGCGTGAAGAGATGACAGTGTATGAAACAGTCACCACATTGGACTTCTGATGGAAAAACACAGTAATATAGGAGACGCTGTCCCCAGAGGACTGTCTTAGGGAGCAGCCACCAACCACCCCTGATGTGGGGTGTGGCATTGGTGGTTAGGGATTCAGAGATGGAGACTCAGGTTCCACACCAAAATCCTTCTGTGCGCAGTGTCCGAGGGACCTGCTTGTCACCAAGGCAGGCCCTGCTGCCAGCACTGCAGGGGAGATGCCTGCAGCGTCTGTCTGTTCTCCAGCACTGGCACCCTGCAGTTTGCTTCTCATTAAAATCGCCACTTACATTCCCATAGGAAGATAGATAAATATTAGCATTTGCTGGGAAATAGTAATTGAAACACATTTTTATCATTAATGTACTTGACGCAGAATTGAATGAAGCTTAACAACATGGATTTTCTTCGGATGTGTGCTTTTTTTGAAGGGAGTGCTAACAGTCTCCCAGACTAGCACATTTTGGTGGATTTAAATGTTACTCACAGGATGTTATTAACTTCTTAAATATGCTTCTCACTCTTTCAGAGTTACTGGAGAACGTAACCCTAGTACATAAGCCAGTGTCATTGCAACCCCGCGGGCTGATCAATAAAGGAAACTGGTGCTACATTAATGCTGTATCCTTCTTGCACGCTGTCCGGGGCCAGCTCACTGCCGCCGTCCCCTCTGGGTGCTTTGGCTTGGTGCGGCTTCCACGAGGCCACTAGCCTGAATGTGGGGTCCAAAAAAACTTGGTTCGGTACCTGCTCTGCCTAACTGGCTCATGGACAGGATTATTCGTGACCCCAGCTTCTCCAAACCTGCGCAAAAAGAGGATTTTTGACCTGAGTGACAGAAGCGGGCCAGTTTTATTCTCATCAGCATGGTCCCAAAGAGCAGGGCACAGTGGCCACTTGGGGCTGGAAATTTTGTCCTAACCAATTTGGTGATTTTGGTTGCATCAGGTACTTGAATGTAACCCTGACTGCACAGCAGATCCTCATGTGGATTTTGTTGGGCCGTTACCCTGCCAGTTAATGGTTTATTCCTTTTTGTGTTACTTATCAAAGTAGTTCAGTGTCCTTGACCTATGTAGGTTTTGTTTTCTCATTTTTTTGGTACCAGGGATCGAACTTGGGTCCTTCGTTTTCTCATTTTTTGAGACAGGGTCTCTATTCAGCTCTGGCTGGCCTTGTATGCTACATAGCGCAGACTGGCCTTAAATTTGTGGTCCTCCTGCCTCAGCCTCTTGAGTGCCAGGATCACAGACCTGACCACCACACCCAGCTTGAGTTTTACTGGCTGTGCTGACTGTGCCGGGGGAGCCGGCTGTGCCTGTTGCATTCCTTCACATTCCTTACTGCCCACGTTTAGACTCTGCAGGCGTTGGTCGCTTGCCCTCCGATGTACCACCTCATGAAGTTCATTCCTCTGTACTCCAAGGTGCAGAGGCCTTGCACGTCGACGCCCATGATAGATAGCTTGTAAGTAAGACGCTTAATGCGTGTGGAGGGGCGGGCTTTCCCCTCTGAGAATTAGAATTGGAATGGTTGAGCAAAGCGTTCAACTTCCTACAAATGAATTCTATAGTTCTTTTCAAGAAATGTGCTGTTCTTGGTTTTATTGAAGCTAACAGAAATGGAATCGGAACAATTTGTCTGTGTTCTCTAGACTCAGTAGAAAACATTGCAGTATTTAACTGGCTTAAAATATACTGAAAGTGTACATGGTCAGGCATAAGAATTCACTAGTCATTACAGTGCTGGTCACTATCATCTGCCGAGTTCATCGTAATTAATATTCTGCTTAGCCAGCAAGGCTGGTTGGGGAGAGTGCATCTTTTCTAAAATGTCCTGCTTCCCTTTCCCCCGAATTTAGTGTTCGGCTAATGAACGAGTTTACCAACATGCCTGTGCCTCCGAAGCCCCGCCAAGGTGAGTGAAAATGGGGACTTCTGCTGCCACTGCATGTTGGGAGTTACGGAGTCACTAGTGTCACCAGATTTGGGGAATTCGATCTCGTTGGTGGCCACACTTGTGCTCTTAGCCTCGGGGGGCGGGGGTGGAGAGGGGTTGATTCTGCACTTATAATGTCCTCTTAGATGGGAAACTCTGTGTCCTGTTCCTACTGCAGCTCTTGGAGATAAAATCGTGAGGGACATCCGGCCTGGAGCTGCCTTTGAGCCCACGTACATTTACAGACTCCTGACCGTCATCAAGTCGAGCCTGTCTGAAAAGGTCTGGGCCCGCTCCGACGGGGCTAATGGAAAGCACTGCCTTTGCTTGCCTTTGTCTGGTAGCTGGTGCTGGCTTAGCGTCCGCTCTCCGTCTCCAGTGCTGTAATTTGGTGGGTGTTCAGGACTGAAGCCTAGGTTGATGGTGGAGTCCCTCGATTGGATGAATTGAGAGTGTGCCAGTCCTCATGACTGGGCCTAGCTCATGTGACATCCACTGTGCACCAAGTATTGTTCTAAGCACCAGCGCCATGAGCAAAGTGTGATTATTGTGGCTCTGTTAGAGTCCACAGAGGTGAGGCCATCGTCGGGCCACGTTGGGGCCACACAGCTCATCAGCGCTGCCTCACGGCTGGAGTGGAGTGCTGCTGTGCTCACCGCTCAGACCTTCACAGCTGCTAAATGCCCCTGGGCCTTGGCTTAGGTTCTTCACCCTACACTTCCATACCAGAGGCTTGGTGCCAGCAAGCAAGGGTCCGTACTGATGGCCCTGCTGCCTCTCAGGTGCGCAGCAAGCACCCTTAGCATAGCAGGCAGCAGCGTTTCTGTCTTCGCTGGTGGAGGTGGCGAGGAGTCTGTACAAGCAGTTGAGGTCATGCTTAGGGAGACACAGTCAGGAAGACCAGTGGACAAGATGCCATTTAAACTGGTGAGTCCTGTTGGAACTGCACACTCTGAAGAACGATGCGTGCCCAGGGCAGCAATAGTGGACACCACAAGGGACAGCCCAGAGTTTAAGCTTTTAAAATGCTCCTAACACAGCTTTTGTGTTGAGTTGGATTGTTGTCCAGGTAACAGGAGACGTGCCGTGTTTGCTAGGGACTCAGAAATGCAGTAAAGCTGCCTTCTGCCTGCCAAGCACTCACCTTCCAGGGCCGGATTAGCACAGCCACAAGCACAGATGACAGATGCGCATGCGCAAACAGGATGAAGGCTGCCAGTTTAGGGGCCAAGGTGGGGGCGCTCAGGGAGGGCTTCCTGAGCTGAGCCCTCCGGGACTGTGCTCCGAGGGAAGCAGTGCTGAGACCAGAAGTATCTTTCTGAAGTGACTTTAATGTGTTGAGATCCCCAAGAGCACCCTTGGGCATGGTGACTCACTGGCAGGACTCAGGCTGGTACACTTGTGGTTCTGGTTTATTACAGCAGGAGGATCCAGAGCAAATCAGGACAGGGGAAACGCACATGGGCGCCATCTGGAGGGCTCCCTGGTTCTTCCCCTGAAGCCGTCCCGCAGCGCAAGACTCCCCCAACATCACACCGTGACAGCAGGTGTGGGGGTGGCCTCCCAGGGGCACGCTAGAGACACAGCTCCCCCTGCCTAGCTTGAACCTAACTTCCGAATGTCCAGAAGGAAGACAGATCTTCAGCCAAAACCACATTGCTTATACAGTGTAGGCACAGTTCCTTACCAGTTCATGGATTGGCGGGAAACCCTAAAATCCAGATTCCCAGACATGCTCTGTGGCCAGCCGGCTGAGCAGGCTGTTGCTGGGAGGGTGGCCCCGGCTCGCCCTCACTGCACACGTGTGGTGCCTGCTCACTCCAACCAGCTGTCCATGGCTGGATCTGTTTGGAGAGAGCAGACCTCCAGGTATAGCCTGCTCATTGACCTGGAGTGGAGGGGCGTGTGGACCAGGCCAGGCAGGTGTGTTCCAGGAGCGCAGTCAAGCCTGCCCAATGAGTCAGCTTCGCAAGCCAGCCAGGGCCTGGAGAGCCAACATGAGCCTGTGTGTGCATGCATGCAATACAGCCTGCGGCCGATGTCCACGCAGCTTCCGCACATGGCCCAGTCCTCTCCCCAGTGCAGTGGGCACACGCGGCTGGGAGTGCACAGTTGCTGTGGGCGTGTGCCGAGGGCCTGCGCAGCACGTTCTGCGTCACTGATACAGAGAGGCGACTGTTAAGTAACTGTACTGTTGCTAGGAGCTAATATGTATTCATTGTAGGGAAAATCTAAAACACAGAAAAACATAAAGAAGGAAATTTAAATCCCCAGGTGTCCTAGAGCTAAGTGTTGGACTGTTCCTCCCCTCCGCTTCCCCCAAGGACTGCAGTCCAGAGCCCTCCTGGCAGTTTGCGAGCTGCTGCCTCAGCGGACGAGCCGTGGTCCCAGGGCCTGGGCAGTGGTCACTTCATCAGTGCCATCGCGTTTGTCCTCGCCAGGGTCGACAGGAAGATGCTGAGGAGTACCTGGGCTTCATCCTAAACGGCCTGCACGAGGAGATGCTGAGCCTGAAGAGGCTCCTCTCACCGGACAGTGAAAGTAGGTTCTTTCTCTGCACGCTGCGCCTGGCCGTCCTCCTAAGTTTTGTGTTAAGCAAAGGTTGCAGCTCATTTCTGTGTTGTCACCTCTCCCCTTCCCATGCTCATTTGCCCATCAGAAATCCTCCTTTACTTCCTGAGATGACACCAGTTATTTTTACATTGGTAGCTCTGTACCCTTGATAATGTTTTACTTGGCTAAATTGAAGTTTATCCAGAACCTCTCATGTTGATTCCTTCAGTTTTAATTCAGAAATGATCATGGGTACAGAAAAGCTTTAGAAAGAATGGTCTGGGGAATCCCCACGTGACTGCGGGAGTCTGCATTCTTCGCATACCCTTATTATTATCTCTTTGCACACACACTCACACAGAGTGTGTGTTTACATTCTCCCGGGATGAGTGGACTTGGGCCTCCATGCCAAAGCCTGCACCCCCACCCCGAGGGTCAGGGACCTGGCCCATAGAACCGCAGCCCCCAATCTAACTCGGACTTCTAACTGCTTCCCCGTGCATCTCACAGGCTCTGCTTGGCCCAAAAGCGTCCTCCACAGCCAGTCCAGGGACACTGCCCTGGCTGCGTGGGTTGCTGAGAGTTGGTGTAGACCATACCCTGAGTCTGTAGAATGCTGTTGACACATCTGTCCCCCAGTTCCCTCCAGGCCTGGCTTGTTGGTGTGGTCTGATGTCCCCATCAGTGGCCGCCTGAGCACACCTTCTCATTCCAGAACTCACGGTTTCCAATGGGCCCAGAAGCCCCTTGCCCAAGGACGCAGCACAGCAAGAGCAAGGTGAAGGCAGCGAGGAGGAGTGGGAGCAAGTGGGCCCCAGGAACAAGACGTCGGTCACCCGCCAGGCGGATTTCGTTCAGACCCCAATCACTGGCATTTTTGGCGGACACATCAGGTTTATGATTTTCTGGAATAATTAGTACTTGCCCGTTCCAGGGTTTGCCATCCTGCCAGCAGGGGAGGCGTGAGCACTGTCCTGCCACCTTGTGCCCTGGCACCGCTGCCTGCTGTGTGCTGGTCCTGCTGCTCCCTGGGGATTTCCTCTGGCCACTTCTCCAGGGCTCGAGGGCCACAGTGTCTCTCCGGCCTCAGCTGCTCGCTGCTGCATAGTAAGAGAAAAGCAGGCTAACTGAACAGTTAAAAGAGAAATTCACAGACCCATTGGGGGCATTTCGTGTGTTTTATTAACTTTAGAGCCCACAACATGAAGTTATGACACTCAGATGGTTTCCACAGAGAAGCAGGCGACATATCCTTCATCTCACATAATTACCCTTTTTGTTGTGTTATTGCTGCTGTCCCTGAAGTCTGTGTGCTCAGATGGGGCTCAGCAATCCTGATCTCCCTGGGTGGAGACACCTAGGCAAGGTCCCCCGGCCCCTGTGCCATGAAGCCCAGGGACCTGTCCACACTGCTCCATTCTGCTTGCAAACCAGGCCATTCAGACTGCCGGCATGGAATCTCCTGCGAACTCCTAGAGGGTGTCTTTGCTGAGGCTGAATAAGAAGCACCAAATGTAAAATTTTTTACTCAGAAAAAGAAAAATGAAATGAAAAACCAACTAAGAAAACAAAGTTGAACTGGCAGCCTTCTTGGAAGGGTGGTGGCCTGTCTTCCTGGGAGACAGCTTGTTTTTATTCTCCACTCCCTATCCCCCTTCTTTTGCGCGTCATTTTGTAGGGGGAAAATGCTGTTAAAAATACTGTTTACCTTGGGGTTTCCTCTATTTTATTAGAACAGGCTACGATACTTTGAAAACATGAAGTGTCAGCAGTTTGAGGCCGTGGGAAGATAGTCGCATTTATTAACTGGTGCATTGAATCGTAGTGTGGTCCGGCAGTGCAGGAATTTGGAAGGTGAAATGTTTCCTTCCAGAGCGCTCAAGTGAGGGTATCTCAACAGGCAGATTTAGTTGCTAATACTGAGGGGTGGTGTTCAGCAGGTAATTACTGTTGAGTGTATTTTTGGCTTTTCTGTTGTCTCCAGGCTTCTGAAAGTGATCCCGAGTAATCTGAATTTCCGTGTTTATTCCTCTTCTTCTGTTGGTTAACCCTAAGGGAAAGTAGCAAGGAGTGGGCTCTTACACTGTTTTGCTTTCAATCCCTAGGTCGGTGGTTTACCAGCAGAGTTCAAAAGAGTCTGCCACCCTGCAGCCATTTTTCACATTGCAGCTGGATATCCAGTCTGACAAGATACGCACCGTGCAGGATGCGCTCGAGAGCCTGGTGGCGAGAGAATCTGTCCAGGGTTACACCACGAAAACCAAACAAGAGGTGCGGCCCTGCTGGTCTGGAGCTTTGGTCCCTAGCCATTCTGGGAAGATGGGAAGAACACAGAATTAGGGACGAGGGGGAATAGGTTGCAGCTTCACCTCTCCCAGCAGTTGCTTAGTTTGTTTGGACAGAACATTTGCACGATTCTAGCGTGGCATGGTCGGAGAGATGACCCAGCCAGCACTTAGCTGTCAGGATGGGCATGGACTCCAGCTCCCTCTGAGTCGGTGATCCTGAGCTGCATGTCGTTTTCTGGCATCTAATCACAGTTTCACGAAGTCAGCACTGCCTCTGAGTAGCTTGTTTATATTCTTGGTTCGTGGCAATTTATTAGATTAGTTAGGGCCTCTCAGCACATCTGTTTTGCATTTGACTATAGATCTTCAAGGACATGGAGGCTAGAAAGTCATTGTTCAGATGCAAGTTGCCCTTCCATTTGATCTGAAAGGAGAGTGACTTTGAGGCTCTACCAGGTTCCAGCTCAGGTCGCGGCCAGCATCCGGGAGGGACAGCCCGCTCTGCTGAGGTGGCCCGGGCCATGTGGAGGGAGAGCCCTGGCATGTGGGAGGTGGGTGCTCCTGTGGAGCTGTGTGTGAACCACTTTGTGGCTCCACATACCACAGCCGGGTGGTGTGTCCCATCCTGTGGCTTGTGCCAAATGGAGGAGGGCAGTGGGGATCCTCAGCCTGTCCACAGCTGGCCCCTCACTCTGGACCGGCCGAGCCACTCTCCAGGCCTAGCTGTGCACTGTGTGTTCAGACGCACACAGGGAGCCCACGACAGGAAGCCGGCCACTGTGAAAGTGAGCAGGGGGAGAAGGGTCTGGCAGGAGGGCGGCAGCAAGGAGGGCTGCTGCTCTTCCCAGCAGGGCTGGGGTGGCTCCCGGGGGCAGAGAGCAGATGTCCCAGGGAGGAAGTGGACAGGCAGCTGGGCCTCAGGTTGAGTCTGTGCTCAGCATGGAATAGGCCCTGGAGGTAACTGGGCCTGGTCTCCGGCACACCTGCCTGAGCTCAAGGGTTCTGCATGGGTGCAGGGAAGCACGGCATTTGTACCCCTGGGTCTGATGGGAGGGGAGGCAGGCCTGGGAAGGCGTTGGGCTCAGGGCACCCCTGGCGCTGACTCCCGTGCCAGCCTTGCCTAGCCAAACGCCGACTCCTGCACCTCCAGCTGGACACGTGCCTGTCCCCAAAGAGTGTGCACTCCTCGGTGTGTTACTATCTTTTGGATGGTTAGTTTAAAAACTATTTCTATCAAAAGAATATTCTAAGTCAATAACAGGTTATTTTGTCTGTTTATTATGAGATGAGAGCTTGCTGTATTGTCCAGGCTGGCCTCGAGCTCATGGCAATCCTCCTTCCTCAGCCTCCCAAGTGCTGGGATCACAGGTGTGCACCGCCACACCTAGCCCGGCATCGCAGAGTTTTAAGCAGAGTGACACAGACACATTTTACTTTCAGGAACCTGGCTAAAAAAAAGAAAAGAGAAACCTGGCTTTATTTAGAAGCAGCATCCATTAGAGTACTTCAGGGCGCATTAAATTGATAAAACCAGACTGTGATGAAACTGAAAGGAGGGCTAAATAGCTGGGGCTGTTTAAAACATCTGATTGAAAAACACCTTGGCATCAGCTGTGTCAATTCCACGAGAGTATGGCGCATGCCTCTTTCAAGCTCCCCGACTTGGCTTTTCCCTCTGATGCTGCCTTGTTACGGGGGCCGCGGAGCACAGCTCTCCACTGGAGTGTGGTGACTCAGGCCCCAGGGCGGCCTGGCCTGTGTGGGGTACCGTGTCCCCACGCCGGGGCAGAGGCCAGTGTGCGCTGCTGCGGTCAGATGGGTCAGCACATCCCGCTGTGCTCCGTGTCCTAGGTGGAGATCAGCCGGCGGGTGACTCTGGAGAAGCTGCCTCCTGTCCTTGTGCTGCACCTGAAGCGCTTCGTGTATGAGAAGACTGGCGGCTGCCAGAAGCTGGCCAAGAACATCGACTACCCCGTGGACCTGGAGATCAGCAGGGGTAAGGCTGTCCCCAGCCAGCCCGGCCGTGCCCTTTGCCTGGCTTCCCTCATCTTAAACTTCCTGACTCTGAGAGACTTTCATAGTCACACCGTCCTTAAAATGGCTTTTTAAAAATAGAAATGAAAATGAACAAACCCTATAATTTTGCTAGATCAGAAAAATAGTTGCTTTTGTCCACCAGAAAGACCTAGCTTTTCATTGAACAGCGTCTTAGGAATGGGTGGGTAACGCTTGTCCTAGACCGAGTCAGGGCTGCTGTGCTGAGCAGTCTGGTTGCACAGCAGCGGGGGCTGCTCCGTGGCAGTGGCACTCCGACCCACACGTGTCCACGGGCAGCCGGTGTAGCGGTTTCATTTCATTTTATTTTATTTTTGGTACCGGGGACCGAACTCTGATCCTTGCACTTTCGAGGCAGGCGGCAGAACCACTGAGCTAAATCCCCAGCCCCAGGTGTAGTGGTTTTAGAGCGCTGTGCCGCAGCTGTCTTTCTGAGCACAGCTCGGGGCGCCCGGGCCGTCCTACTGCTGAAAAGATAGAACACAGCTTAAAGAAACGTTATTCTCAAAAGCTTCAGAATTTGTGGGAAACATAGAGAGGTGAGGCTTGATGGGGAGTGGGGCAGGCCTGAGGGGACATGCGGATGGCACTGGTTGGGGACAGAGAGGAGGGGCTGGCAGCCTTGCGGCCCGTGCTGAGGAAGCAGCCCGTCTGCTGTCCTCCCTGGCTGGCCCCTTGGGCCCCTCTGCTTGCTTCCTTCCCGCCAGCGGTCCCCTGTGCAGCAGCGGCTCTGGCCTGCTCCCAGGACCCTGCTGGCCAGGCGTGAGGCCGAAGCCCATCACCTGTCCCTGCCTCTCAGCGGTGGCATCGTGTGGTGTGTGTTCCTTCACGCTCTGCTTTGTCTCTGGAAGCCCAGAGCACAGACAAGGTCCTGGCTGCTTCCCGCCTCTCACCCGCTCGTCCTGTGCCGAGCGAGGGCTGTGGGGTGCAGCTTACACTGTACAGAAGGAAGATGACACGTGTGGGGACAAGAGGCCACGGCGAGGGCGCTGGGCGGGAAGTGGAGAAGGCGCCCCGCGGCTCGGAGCTCTTCCTGGCCCTCGGACGCCGCTTCCGGGAAGCCAGACTCATGCCCCGAGAGCGGAGCCCTGTGGCCGTGATCGGACGCAGTGGGAGTCCTGGTTCCTAGGTGTCCCTGGTGTTTGGGGTCTGCAGCCTTTTGCTTTCCACTCTTTAGAGCATCTGTTTCTCAGGTGCTTCCAGCGTGAGCTCCTCAGCGCTGTGTTGGGTCTGCTGTGGACTGTGTCACCACACTGCAGACTGACATCCCTGTGGAGCCACCGGGCCATGGCTTTGTTACTCAGAGCTTCTTGAAGTCTTTTTATAAATGGGTCCTGTTGGTGTTTTGTTTTTCAGAACTGCTTTCTCCAGGGGTTAAAAATAAGAATTTTAAATGCCATAGGACCTACAGGCTCTTCGCAGGTAAGTGACTTTGTACCGTGCTGCTTCCTTATTAAAGTGGTGAGAAATGAGTTCACATCGAGGCGCCTTCGAGCTGAGATGCACTGAACGTGGAGAACGGTGTGCTGTGTTGAGCGTGCCGGCAGAGCTCGCAAGCCAGGAGGCCTGCTGAGTGTCTCCACCTGAACTTGAGAGCCTAGCGTTCGCCGAGCGCCATCTGGCCCTTCGCTGGCCCTGTGCCGGCCCTGGCCCCCCGGCAGTGAGTGCTTCTGCTGAAAAGTCACTATGCCAGAGTCGGCAGGGCAGGTGCCCTCAGCCAGCTAGAGTGCATCCCAAGCCGGCGTCCCCACGTCCCCGTGTCCCCCAGTTTGTGGCACCGGCTCCTTGGTTGCCACGCTCCCTGAAGTCTGCCAGAAGGGCGAGTGGCACACACCCATCGCCACTGGGCAGGCCTGATTCTCTCACCCCCTGGCCCAGAACTTCCCGCCAGGCTGGGTTTTCTTCCAGACTTTTCCCTTTCCTCCCATCTTCTGTCCAGAGAGCCCCAGTCTTCTGAACTCCATTGAGTCTTTACGTCTTTGATTTGCAGCAGTTTGTTTGCTTTTCTGGCTGTGTTTCTTAGAGTTTTCTAGCTTCTCCTTTGTGTCTTTTTGTGTTGCCTCTGGCAAGCCTGTTTGTGTTTAAAAATCAAGCCTGCCACTGTGGCTCTCGCACTCTGATCAACCGTTTCGGTACAGTTTGCTCTCGGTAGCCGTCCTGAGAGGTGCATGTGCTTCCCTTTATGGAAGGATTCCCCACACTCGAGGAGAGAAGTCAGTCTTCTGTGGCCTGCAGGGCCGGCAGACCCCTGTCTGCCTCAGCTGCTCCCGTGCTCCTAGGAAGTCTGATTGGGTCCTGGCCTGCGTGGATGTCCTCAGCTCTCCTGGCCTCCCGAGCCCACCTCAAGCTCCTTCTCTGCACCACACCGGCGTAGTCCTGGGCAGGGTTGGGGAGTCCTTGTCTCTGGGTCCAGGGCCCCGGATGAGTGCAGGCCCTCCCCACCTGCCCTCTGCACCCTAATCTTGACTCTTGTCTTGGAAATAAGGTCACCAGGCTGCTTAGAATTCTCTGTAAAATGTGAGTAAAGAATTATTTTTTTAAATGGTTCTGATTGTGGGACTGAGGAAAATTAAATAATGTGCATTCTCAAAAACGAAACTTTGAAGAGCTTTCACAGACTGGTCCTCCATTGTGGTCCTGTTGGTGGGGTCGCCAGCAGGGCTGTGGTGTCCCCTGGCTGCTCTGAAGAGCCCAGGGTGCGGCGGCGCACAGCTCTGCTGAAGCATCTGTGGCCATGTCCCGGGGACACAGACCCACAGCCTCAGGCCCTGGCATCCTGCCACACAGTCACTGAACAGTGTGCAGCTTGGAGCTGGAAAGGAGGACAGAGTTCCAAAGCAAATCTGGGGTCCCTTTGTCAGTCACCCGGATCCCTGGGCCCCACATGGCGTCTCCTTGAGTCTGTGGCCAGGGAGCGACAGCACCTCTTGGCACACCCCTGCCGTCCTCTAGCCCTGGGGTCCCTGCCCTGGGTGGCCCTGTGGCCACATCTCAGTGCTGGGGCTTGTCCCCCGGACGCCGTGGGTCCTCACACCCGCCCAGGCCCACGTCCCCCGGCCACTGGCTCTGCTCCTGCCGCGGAGGGGAGCACATCGCCCAGAGAGCCTCTGGGTCTGAAGCCTTGACCAGGGCTTCTTGGTTGGGCTACAGGGTTTTAAAAGAAGTAAGTAACGAGTGGTATTTTTATCTATTAAGACCGCTGTAGGAAAATGAGCGGTCCCTGGCGCGGCCTCTGCAGGGTCCCCACAGCTCCGGCTCCGCCCGCACTGCTGTGGGCCTCCCGTGCCCCGCTCCCCGCTCCCCACAGGCCACGCTCTCCTCGCCCTGCAGGTGAGCCGGAGGCGAGCTCAGAGCCACACTGTCAGAGAGAGCCTCTCGGGGCCTTCTCTTCCCACCCCGCTGCCCACAGCCGGGGGCCTGGCTGGGACCAGAGCCCTGGGTGGCGGGGCCGCCTCAGCTCTTCCCACGCTTTCCACCCGAGCAGGCTGCTCCTCCGCCCGAGGAAGAGCGGTTCCAGCACGATCTGCCCATCACTGCCCTCCTTCCCGCCAGTGGGCAGAGTCTTGATTTTTCCATTTTTCACTGACGCCGACACCCTGACCTTTGTCTAGGGTTCACATGGTGTCTTGAGGACAGCGTGGAAATGGAGTTGGCCAGAGGCCAGGGCACGGGAGGAGTGTGTGTGGGTGTCCAAGGGCGATGGCTGTGGAGGTCTGCGTGAGGCTAGGTGTTTGGAGAGTTCTTAATGTGTGTGTATCTTAGGTGCTGTGTGTGAGAGAAGGCGTTTTACAGAAGTACATGTATGTACGGAATGTGTACATGCATACGAGTGCACACCCGCAGACTTAGACACAGATGCACCGTCCGTGTAGGATCCATCTAACCAGCTTTCTGTCCTAAGTCGCCTGCGGCCTCATGACCCACACCTGCTCCGCACCCTGCAGGCGTGCGCGCTCACAACCCCGGCGGTCTCTTGCAGTGGTCTACCATCACGGCAACAGCGCCACGGGCGGGCACTACACCACCGACGTCTTCCAGATCGGGCTCAACGGCTGGCTGCGCATCGACGACCAGGTGGTCAAGGTGATCCAGCAGTACCAGGTGCTGAAGCCCGCCGCCGAACGCACCGCCTACCTCCTGTATTACCGCCGTGTGGACCTGCTGTGACCTCGCGTGCCGCGTGTGTGCCTCCAGCCGCCTTGTAGGGCTCCGGCTCACTGACTTCTGCCTCGTTAGTGGCTCCTTAGAGAGATTCCCTTCTGCAAAAGTGGGCTAGAGTGGAAAGATGCTGTGGGATTTGTGTGCAACATAGTTTATGTTGACTTCTTACTTCCAAATCAGAATCATTTGGTTGAAACAGACTGTCGCTTGATTTAAGAAAATACACCAAAACCCATAATTCTGAAATAATGCTGATTCCTGATAGAAGAAAGGGAAACTTGCATTTGATTCCCAGTTTAATTGCTTAATAGAATAAATCTACACCAGCAACTCTTGTAAATTTGTGAAAATGAATTTTATCTTTCCTTAAAGAATAAATTTTTTAATCCACCACACTTTCCTCCCCTACCCTTTAGTTTTTGATAAATGATAAAAAATGAGCCAGTTATCAGAGAAGAAATAGTTCTTCAAAAGAAAAATAAACACAAAAAATAAGTTGCTGGTTCCTAACAGGAAAAATACATTTTAATAACTGCAATGAAACACTGCTTACATACACGTTGCAGATCGAGTATTTGGAGTTAAAAGATGTTAGTCTACCTAGATGGGTGATTGTAACTTTATTGCCATTAAGATTTCGAATTGCTTTCATGCTTCTGTGTACACATAATGAAACACGGGCAAAACACTGAAGATTGGTATTTCCTGAAATCTGCTCTCTCATTCTGCTGTCTGCCCCTCTAATGCTGCGCCCCACTTGTACACAGTTAGTGATACCTAGGAGTATAAAGTTGTCGCCCATCAATAAAGTCACGAAGTTGGTTTAGAGTTGTGTGTGTTTCTTTGTGTGAGTGCCCTCCCAGTGATGGGTCTGTGGGCCGCAGCCCCGCAGGGCCCCCAGGGACAGGGCCAGGGTTAGAGTCCCCCACTGCTCTGCTTGAGGAAGGAAGCTCTTGGATCCTCGGATGCAGGCACAGGGAGGTTTTCCTCCTTTCTTTCCTCCTTCCATTGTTTCTCTACCCGGCAGTTTCAGGAGCACCGGGAGTGGTTTTCCGTCAAGGCCAGGCATCCTTATGGGGCAGCTCCTGGCTGCGGGGAGCTCTAGATGGGAGGGACAGAGAGAGGGCAGCTTGGACGAGGTGGGGTGCCCGCAGTGGGCTCCCAGCTGCCTGCTCCCCACCCCTCGCCAGATCTCAGTGCAGTCAGAGTCTTTCTCTACCTTTCCTGTGTACCACCTGGCATTCCTAACTGTAGCTTTGTGTCACCTGTGTCAGAAATAGCTTACTTTGTCAGCTCAGTGCACTACTGTCATCCTCTTAGCCCCCTTACCTGGTCAGAACCCAGTTCTGGTTTGCTTGGCTGAGTTATAGTCATATCATAATCAGCTGCTCGTTACCATAACACAGTTCCTGTGGAACATACGGGGATTGGAAGCCAAAGGGGCTTTGGGGCAAGCAACCCACACCCACAATAACCCAGCCAAATGCAACAGAAGCCTCTTCTAAAACACTTGGGGCTGGGTGTGGTGGTGCAGGCCTGAAATCCCAGCCCTCAGGAGGCTGAGGCAGGAGGATCTCCATGAGTTCGAGGCCAGCCTGGGCTACATAGTTCAGGGCCAGCCTGAACTACAAAGTGAGACCCTGCCTCAAAAAAACCAAAAATAAGCACTTGGTTTGAGTTCTGGAATGTGTCTGACCCTGACCAAGGGCTGCTTCTGTGCCATAGCTGCCTATCCACCGCGGTTGTGCAGCTTCGGCAGTGTGTAGTGACTCACCGTGCATCCCTCTGGAGCAGGGTCATCTGACGGGCGAGTGCCCTGATAGGAAGCTGGATCGAGGGGCTGTGCAGAGGAGCACATCCAGATCTTCAGGTGTGTCCTGTGTGTTGCATGGGAACCTTTTCCCGCAGACGTCATTCATCAGCTGGCAGCTGCTGGAGGGCATGTTTGGTCAAGCTCAAAGTTATCTGGGAATGGAAGGGACATCCTGAGATTCCCTTTGTGGTGTCGCAGGTCTGTTTGAAGAGTGGAGAGAGGAACTGGGGTCAATGGGGTGTCCACCACGTTAGCATGTGACACGTGGCAGTCCCGCATCTGCTTCCAAGGCTGCCATCCCTCATACGCTGTGCTCGGCGTTCTGGCCACCTGCTAGCCAGCAGAGGTTTCTTGTCACCTTTCATGTGGCTGCATGGGAAAGCTGGTGCTAGCGAGGCAGCATGCATATCCCATAACCAAAACACCAGGGCCAAGTGCTGGAAACGACATTTCTCAGTCACGGAGGCTGAGGTGCCGACGGAGCACTGGCAAGCCGTGTCTGGGGTGGGGCCTGCTTCTGTCTCGTCAGCGCCTCTCCGCCTTTGTGGGCAGTGAGCTCTGGCCCAAGGATAAAAATCCCTCCCGGAGTCTCCGGCCTGTGACCTCACCCCAGAGACCCAACCTGTAGAGGTTAGGGTATCTGTCAGTGTCGGGGGACGCAGCATGTCCTTGCTGGTCCACTCAGCTTGAGACTGTGTGCATGTCAGACAGGAGCTATTCAATAGCACTGCCTAAGCGGGGTGGGTGCACTGCCAACTGCAGACGGGAGAGAGGGCTCAGAGGGGCAGGACGCGCCATGGCACCAGCCCAGAACCAGGAATCACCAGCCTTTGGACCCCAGGTGCAAACTTGGCCCAGGGCTAGAGAACAAGGTGACCCTCCTGACCACGCCTTTCCTAGAGTCCTGGGAACGGCAGCCTGTCACCCGGTCTTGAGACTGCACTCAAAACATTGCTGTTTTGTGCTGCAACATTTAGTACTTTTAAACTGTTTCCCTCGCTTTTGGTCACTGATACAGAGCTTGGCCTGTTGTTAGCCCTGGGGTGGTGGTTTTAGATGGGATTTCCCCTCTGGGCACTCGATGCATCTGAGTGAGTGGCTTCTCAGGCAGAGTCTTACGGGAGCGCCCCAGGGAACGACCTGGCATCCCCTGCATGGAAGGTGGCGGTAGCCTCAGCACAGCCCCGATTGGCCCGGGCAGACAGTCTGCCTTCCTTGCTCTGTGTGCTTAGTCTTGTCAGTGTGGGCCACAGCGTGGGCAGCACACACAGGAACCGCAGCTGGCACCAGTCATTTTGTAATGTCTCCTTGCCAACCTTTCTGCTTACTGCTGCCTGAGGTAGCTTGTCCTGTCCAGGCTAACTAGTTAGAAAGCGGCCAAGGTTGCTTTTGAATTCACCAAATCAGCCGATGTAGCATCGCACAGCTCGGGACTAATTTGCCTGATGATAAATCCATCTGTTGGGCCAGAGTGGCTACAGCAGCCTGCAGCCGTCAGAGGACGTGAGCCCCATTTCTCCACTTCTCTGCTGACTGTCCAGTGGCCTGAGCATCCCTCGCCTTACAAGCATTAGGCAGCCTGTTGGTGCTTTCAGTCCTGCTGTCTAAGCAGGCCATGCGATGGCAGCTGAATGTGATGTCCTGAGAAAGTCACCAGGCAGACGGGCCGCTGCCCTCTCGCTGGGAATTGCTTTGGGGGAGCCCGTGCTCACGGGGACAAACGCTCCCTCCCCTCCTGATCTTTCCCTCTTTCCTTGTCTTCCCACCCGAGGAGACAAGCTATTCTGATTCGCACATGTGGGTTTTTTATCGGGGTTTCCACTCCACGGTTGCGCTTACTTTTGCCACCTCGGCTGCATGCGCTGTGGTCTTCATTCGGGGTCATCTGCTCCGCTGCAGCGTGTGGACCCCGTAGCGTTTTGTCCAGTGGCCTCTCCCTGCAGAGAGTGCCCTGTGCACTTCCAGACACGAGAGCCCTCTGTGCCCTTGTTGATTCTCATCGTCCACAAGGGGCCACTTGGGCCCCTGCCGCACCGCTGATCTCTGCCCAGGTGTCCATCTGTTCCCTGCTGCTTAGCCTCTGATCAGGTCCCCACCCCTCTCTATCTTCAGTACCTGCAGGCGACAAGTGGGCGACTCCCTCCGGGCTCTGGAGAGGTGGCCTCTCAGCACCTTGGGCTGCCCGGCCACGTCCGGTTTACGTGGCTCTGAAAGGTGTGCATTTGCTCTCCAGCAAGCTGCTCCAAATGCTCCCCACTGCGCCGGATGCCATGCAAGGGTCCTGGGGCCGTGGTCACTCGGATGCACCCCGTGTGCTGGCCGCGCCTGCGTGGAGCACATCTGTGGTGTTCAGGCCTGAGCTGTGCTCCCCGCGGGTCCCAGGGTCCCGTCCCTTCCCTCTTAAGGATGCGGTCTCCCTTGCCCGGCCTTCATCTGGGGACTTGGGGAGGGGGGCCACATGCCTTTGCCTGCAGCCCGCTGCTCCAGAGGTGGAAGTGATGGCTCTTTGTCTCCAAGGGAGAGCGTTTGTCCCCGTGAGCACGGGCTCCCCCAAAGCAATTCCCAGCGAGAGGGCAGCGGCCCGTCTGCCTGGTGACTTTCTCAGGACATCACATTCAGCTGCCATCGCATGGCCTGCTTAGACGGCAGGACTGAAAGCACCAACAGGCTGCCTAATGCTTGTAAGGCGAGGGAAGCTCAGGCCGCTGGACAGTCAGCAGAGAAGTGGAGAAGAGGGGCTCACGTCCTCTGATGACTAAACACTTCCAGAGAGAAGTCAGCAGACCGCAGGCTGCTGTAGCTGCCACTCCTGGGCTGAGCCCGCGCGGCAGACAGCGAAGGAGAGGGGAATCCCTCTGGCTGGACTAAGCCTCAGCGCTCGACTGACACAGCTGGGCCGGAGGTGCACAGTGGGCAGAGGCCACGTGGACAGCCTTCAGCCCCACGGCCTGCCCTGGACGGCCCCCCGGGCTCGCCTGTCTCGGCAGCAGGTGTGCTTTCAGCACGGTGGCCCTGGGCAGCTTGTCCCTTCGTGTTGGGGACCCTCTGCAGGCTGGGAGCACAGAGCCAGCCGGGCCTCTGCGTCCACTCACATGGGCAGGTGTGACGCTTCCCATGGGAAAGGATGTCTGGATCCAGGGTGCCCCTGCCTGAAACATTGGTGCCTGCATTTGAACAAGGGCCCCA